GCAATAATTAAAAAACGAGAAAGTATAAGAAATTAAATAACATAATCAATCTTATTGGCTTCGTATTAATGTCTATTTTTCGTATTTTATTGCAAAACAAATCGAATTAAAAAATAGTTATGTTTTACATGTGTTAGAGATCTTGATGAAAAGTCAAATAGGGTAAACAAGGACAAAGGAAGTATGTCTCGATCTACTAATAAAAACGATGTGATAAATGACAAACCTTGATATTATTAGATTCTTTGATGGCTGCTATAATCTTCTTTTGATCTTGTATAAGAATGTTAGAGTGAGAACGATGACCAACCGTTGATATCACCACATCCACTTCCTTCATTGCTCTCAAAAGGCTTTCATGATCGTAAATGTCTCCCTACATTTTGAATCAAAGATTAAAAATGTACCTTTGGAGAAAAAAAATGTTAAGATTTTCTTCCTCAATATGCAATCTATATCTATATATATACTATCTATAAAATATATTTAAAAAATGTGCCTAAAAACGTTCATGTCACGTGGTACCCTTCTACACTAAACTTGTCACATCATTTTCAACAAATAAAGTTAAAAATGCTTATCATTAGGTTTGAATTAAGACCACTAAACTATGAATTAAATACATTACCATCTCAACTATTGATTAATCATACTTTTATTATTTGACTCGTAAATATATATACTTTTATGTATGAATTGGAGAGCATTCGATTACTACTATTTTTTAAAAATCAATTCGATACTACTATTTTTTAAAATCAATTCGATTATTTGATAATACTCATCTATAACTAATACTAAAATGACAACCACTGACATCATTCTATATATCCTAAAATTAGAAACATATCATGGTGTTATTAAAAATTTTCCCTCCAAAACTATAAATAATGTTATGATTTTTATTTTATTAAAATTCTGATCAGCTATATTATTGTTATTATCAATTTTTGAAAAATAGTATATTCTCTCTAACAACAATAATTTAAATTTTCATTCTCAGGTACCCCTTTCATCATTCAATTTTTCTATGAGCTCTACAGTTTATAATATTTGATATATTATTTATTTTGGGATTTTTTTTTGTTTGTAATTTTGGTATGAAAAAATGAACAAATCTAGAAAATTTTATTTGCTCAAATCGTGACTAATCTAGTTGAGATAATAAATTGCAAGACAGATAACATATGGTTATAAAATAAGTTTAGTTGTTTAATTATTTTGATAATTATATCTTTGTTAGTTTTAAATATGTCAATATAAAATAATATAGCATGTATGTAGTTAGTCAACAGTAGTTGAACGTACTTGAATCATAATATAAATAGATATAAAACCGCCTAAAAAAAATGTAAAGGATAAGAGCAAAATTACTCAAAACTATACAATTCACAAGCAGTCAAACTAATGTATTCATAGGTTTCATGAAAAACTACTATAAATAAATAGGAAAATAAAAAACAAAGAAAAAATTATGAATCTAACTATCCAAATACAATTGTTCAAAATAACAACTCCAGGCATCACTCATTCACTCAGGACACACACTAGTTTTTATTTAAAGGTGAGCGATGTTGATCGATCCTCAACTTTTACGAATTTAAAGTTGCAAGTTATGCACTTGAAAGTAAGGGAGAAGGGTAAGGGATCTCCACTTCCAAATAGATATTATAGTTGGGATGATTGCGACCTTATAATCTTAAGGTTACAAGATGAATTCCCAATCAAACATAACAAATTTTATTGAGATAATCCAAGTTTATAACATTGATAAACACGGTTTCTTATCTCATGCTTGGAATCCGCGTTGGTTGATTAAATAAGATATTTTGTATTGTTTTGCTATTGTTTGGCATTGTTTGGGTACTGTTTTGCAATCGTATGTGGACATTTGCTACGGTATGCCCACGTTTGTTGGACAAAGGTTATACATATAAACCCCTGGCCCCATGACTTGAAATGACAGCACTACTAAGATAAACATTTTTTATTTATCAAGGTTATAAAATAGAGGTGATCATTAGGCGGACCGGGTCGAAGCTAAAAATTGTGCACATTTCTCGGGCCGGGCCGGGCCAGAATTTTTGTGCCCGAACCCGCCCAAATGGTCGGGACGTGCGGGCTTTTCGGGTCATCCTAAAAAATCAACTAAATATGCATAAAAACGCATTCCTAAACCCGCCAAAAAAATATAAGTTTTCAGGCCGGGTCGGGCCCAACCCGATTTCGGGCCAAAAAAATCTGCCCAAAATCGGGCCGGGCTAACTTTGATCACCTCTATTATAAAGATAGGCAGCCTCCAACCTTGCTCGGTTCCTCCATATGCAATTAGTTGCGAAAATACAAGTATAGAAGTGGTAAAAATACAACTAAAATGAGATGGAAGTAGAAGAAATGAAGTTAGTCAAGAAATTTGACGTACAATGAGAACATTGACACCAAGGCTATGAAAATACTCTTGTGTATGCACTTTGGAGGTTTCTTCCCGGACAAGAGCAAAAGTTTGGTGTCCATTCTTGACACTTGCTTCGGCAATGAATTTTCCGATGTATCCCGTTGCTCCGATGATCAATACTTTACTCTTGAATGCCATTGTTTAAGAGAAGGAAGATATGAAACAACTAGAAAGAAAAAAATTGGTCTTAAGCTTTGGTGTACGTAGTGAATAACTGAATATACCGAAAGTAACGTTACTAATGTATGATATTTGTATATGTACTCTTTGAAGGGTAAGATGTGCGTGGTTTTCCTAGCTTTAGGGCCCATGCAATAATCTTCCATGTGCTTAATGTTAGTACTATTGTATTCATGACATTGCTTGACAATATTCTTATGTCCTTTGATAATTGTCAAGCAATTTACTCCATGTAATAAATTAAGTATTACGTCGTATTGAACTGACAAAATGACATTAATCTAGTGTCCTTTGGATTAGGACAATTGCTTGACAATAATTCAGTGTTCTTTGGATTACTTATGAGAGTACACAATTTCTTCAATAAGATCACTTTCATTAGCTTTTTAAGACGAGTTAATTAAAGTTACTCTAAAAGTATTTACAGTTATCCTTATATATTATACTTCGTATAAGTTACTATTTTAACATTTATAATGTATTCGGATTAATCATATTAGTCTTTTTAACATGTATCTCATTAGAATATACACATTAAAATACAAACAAACTCATCACAAAATAAAAGTTAGTGAAAATAGAAAGAGTCTTGTATGAGTCTCAATAATAAAAAATTTATAAAAAGTTAGTGAAAAGCTAATGTGACAGAGTGTGGAGTATAAGGTTGTATATGGGGATAAACTTGCCCTAGTATGTAAGTAAGAGCTTTACATAGGTTTAAGTATTGGCGCATAGCGCCTATATGCTTCAGAAACAAATAGGATGACATTTTTGTGAATAATGGGAACATGAAAAAAAGCATTGGTGAAAAATGCGTCATGTGGAAGGAATAGGTGATAGGTGGAAGGTATTTTGGGGGAAAATATTTAACGACATAGTAAAATATCGAATGGCAAAAAGTACCACTACATGGTGAATAGTACTATTATAGTACTATTAAGACAACTTATACTTCAATGGTACATTATACATGCATAATAGTATACAAAAATGCACCATTGTACCATTAAGAGAGATAAACATCAAATGAAAAAATAAAAAATAAAAACCCTCGATTGCCCTCCTATGTGCATAGCGCCTAGATGCACTCGGTTAATAGGTAGTATTAATTTTCTTGTGGCTATTTCTCATTCTCAGTTATCATATAAGGAAGGCAAATACTTTAGACTTTTTTTTTTTTTTTTTTTTTTTTGAAGGCAATTACTTTAGATTTTGTTTGATTTATCTAATTATTTCAGGACCTTGTTTATTACTTGTATTTCAGACCAAATCAAATAAAAAAGATCTTAAATTGAAATCTTCAAGTTAATATACAAGTTCCTTTCATTCAAGACAAAATAATATAAGTTCTTTTAGTTTAATATAGTTTCAAACAAAATCAGATGAACCAAAGATACTCCATAAGCGTTAAGCATAATTTGTAAGGATGAATATTTGGTCTCTGATATGAGATGGTAGTTGAACACTTGAACTAGGGATATTATTTATGCTCAGATCAACAACGAATGAGGGTGGTTTTATGGTTATAATGCATGATATAATTCTGGATTTCTGGTTAATGCCAAATGACTAAATACAAACTTAAAGAAGATCCCTCATTGCCAAATTTGTGAAGAAACAGCACTACATTTGGTAAATGGTTGCTCTGCAGCTCGCCGAGCTTGGTTACTAGTGGGGGGTATTGCTGCAGAGTGCTTACATGACTGAGTGTAAGAGAGGGGACCTGCAGCAATGGTTGGAATGGAACTTAAGACTAGAGGGCCTTACTGTTGCTGGAATTTGGCCCACATGCTACACTATCAGGACTTGGTGGTTGTGGAGTTGGCGTTATTGCAAGGTGTTTTGGTCAAAAAGAGGACATGTTCCACCCGCGGGCCTTGTATTTTGGTTGGCTTGAGCTAAATACAAATGTAGCAGTGATGGGATGTCCGGATCTGGCAGGAGAAACCAGCATCATTCGATCAAATGGGTGAATCAGACCATCATTTTCCGCCATGTTTGGCATTTGGGCAGATATTCTTGCTGAACTATGATATTTAACAGGAGGCAAGTGCTTCATCATTATTATTGCCAGGATTTAATTGCAAAAACAGGTTGCTAGGTGACTCTAGTTCATTGCTACCATAAAGGAAATTGAGCAGTGGATTGATAACCACATAAGGGTTTTGTCTAATGTTCACCAGAGCTGAGCAAAATACAGAAGTTGACATTACAAGGGTGGCTTAGCCACGCGTAGTTACTTAATACAATGCATCTTTTGTTTTGTTTGTTGGGCCTGTGCCATCTTAGTAAGCAGAAAAAAAAAAATGGGAGGTTATCTTTATGCATCTCTAGAAGAGGCAAAAATGTATCAAGTCAATGAATGTAAACTCGCAAGAAATGAATCAGAAGTTCAATAGAGGAAAAGTAAATCCCAGATCACATATTCATGTCAAGACTAGTTGTTTCGCGCGTAAACCAAGCCAATGTATATAAAACTAGAGTACATTGTGCAAAACTAACACCCTCAACTTATTTGACTAACTAGCTCATATACTGTGAGCAAATGATCAAAACTTCAGCAAATGCAACTTAATTCAGTGCACCTGCATGATGACCTAAGTAAATTAAGTAAAGTATATACATTATGTTTTGTCGAAACTTTAGAATGTGTTTTCAACAGCACCGAAATCTGACTGGTAGGATTCACATTGCGCTAATAGATCAGAAGATTCAGAGTCTCTTGTTGCTGCAAAGTTCATGCCATTATGAACATATTCAGGCGATAATGCAGGAACATATTCTTGTTCATTTTCATTCACCTTGTTAAACATCATGTATGCTACAGCTCTGTCGATTACATTGGTTTCTGATTCAGGTATCTCCATTGTTCTTGATCTAGAAGCCGCCATTTGTAAGAAATGAACTGTCAGAAAAATACTCAGAAAAGGCATGATATCTACTTATTTAAATAGTTTACTACTTAATAGGCAATTGAGATTTTGAATTTAAGGTTGGTTAGCCAACAACATGACCTGGTCTTACACTCTAACATGTCCAAGTGGATAATCAACATGTGGTCACAGCAAAGGACCAAGGCTACAACTCTATGTTGGCCTTTTGTATGCCTATACATAGCAGTGAGGGACTCAAGGTTCATTTATAAGATAAGTTATTCTCCCGACTTTCTTCCAAGCAAATCCTTGCCAACTAAGGCATCAGAGGGAGATTTCCTCAACCTCACCCCTAAGGATAGTTGTACTTCTTGCAGGTCATTATATTTAAAAATGATAAGGTATTCAAAAATGAAAATTATTTTCAGCCTACCAATTTTCTCATATGAGATACAATAGATGAAAGAAATATGATCCTACACACAATCATTTCTTCTGATCTTTTCTTCATATTTGTTATAATTTTATGTGAAGCAAAACCTTCTTAGCAGTAACAAATTAACAATAACATCAATTTAACTTAAGACTCAATTCAATACTCCTTTTGTTACTTAATGATAGGCCACATTTGATTTAGGGTCAATTTTAATGATTTTAGTAAGCATACTATAACTATCCTTCAATATTTAAATATTTGCAGGATTGTAAGTACCTTGAGCACTCATCACTAGTTTCAGGCAATGAAGGCTCGTCTGCCATAGCATTATTTGATGTTTGCTGCTCTGAGTGTTCAGCAAGTCGATACATGGAATCTCTAAGGCAAATTCGGGTCTCATCACTCAACTAGAAGAAAAAGTATTGTCCAAGTATTAGCAGCCACAGAACATAAATAAATAAATGAATTAATAAACAGAACACTTATGGTCTGATGATGTTGGTTTTTGTATGAGTTAACCCACCTGGTTTAGGACAGTCTCAAGCCCCATCAGCACCGATTCTTCAATTGACGACAAATCATTAGCCTCTAATTTCCTCGTCTTCATTTGTTCCTCATGGTTAGACGGAACCTGGTCCCTAGTCTCCGGTACCTCAAAAAATAAATATGAATTAATACCAGCAAAAAATCTGTTTGCCATTTCTAAAATAGTAAAATCAGCCTTCAATATTTTTGTTTTTATTATAATTTTTCTTCCTCGTGCCAAATCAAGAGATGCCTTATTAAAAATTGATTAAGACAAATTTAACAACATTAAGCAGGCAAGGCAAAATGAAGTAGGTTATAACCATGTACATGAAAAACATCTTAAAGCATTAGTTTAGACAGCATCTCACCTCTACTGATGGACAGCTACTACGGCCTGAGTTGTTTCGAGTTCTAAGTTTAGATGCATGTGAATACTCATTATCTGAGCTTTGTGAACAAGAGAGGTTGGGATTTGTGAAGCACGTCAAGTTTCCCTCTCCATCTGTATCACAAGAAATACTTTGAAATTTCATCATTTTGTTCGTTGAATCGCTTTCAGATGGCATTCCAATGTAGAGAGATTGCAGTGGGAGAACATCATCTTCAAGCAAGGAACTCCTACACAAATCAAACATAAACAAAAGGGTAAGAAAATCAAGAGAATACAAAGCTAGTATGTTCAAAATCTAATGTAGATGAATAAAAATTGATTGCCTACTGCACTTGGACATCCCAAACAAATTGAAACTTTCTTCAATAAGACAACAGAGTTTTTTCAACTTCAATGGGATATCCAAATTTCCTTTCTTAGTTCTGAGTAGGTTAGATGAAGAACCCAAGTGGACCTAACCCCTCAAAGGTCGACTCAGTCTATACCTAGCCTTTGCAGGTCAAGCACTTGGAAGAAGGAGGAAGAGAGTAAGGGAAAGCCCCACCCCCAACCCTCCAAGAACCATAGTTAGCAAGGCTCGAACCTGTCAATGCTGAAGGTTGAAATCCTGCCAACTACACCAAGCAAGCTTGATCTCCATACTTAGCTCTTAGGAAAATGTAAAGTATTGACAGATTTTTACTATTGCTACATGATTTCCTACATGCATTAAAGCAAGTATGTTAAACTTCAGAAGCCTGTACAAGAATATGTCATCCGCTGAATCAGTCTCTGCGAGGTCATTGAAGTAGTAATCAGAACGAGCACTAGCAGCAGAAGCTCTACGAAGAAAATGAGGATCTTCAGATGATGATCTAAAATTGCTCGAGTCATGAGATTGAACTCCGTTAATCTCTTTGTTGCCAGTTCTACCAAACAACGTTTGTTGCTGAGGTTTTGCATTTGCAAAGTTACCTGAATCAAAGGTGTTTGGCCATCCAGAGTTCCCTCCTATTCCACGAGTTTCCCATTGTGACCAACTATCAGGTGATGGAAGCCTGTCAAAGTATTCTTGATCTCTTTGAACAACGACATCACCATCATTTCCATAATACCATTCTGTCATAGTTACCTGGAGAAAATTTATAACGACAGAGAATTGTTAAGTATAAATTTTCAAGTAGCAATATATTAGCATCATTATAATAAATTTATGAATGTCTTTGTAGTAATATGATTGGAGTATTCCGTAGATCATATTTGAATTAAACATCAAACTTGTCAACTAAGACAGTTGATCTCATTAAAAATGTGTCAAGACTCAATAGTGTTGTAGTGTGATGAAAAAACATACAGATGTTAGGAGAAAATACAACTACTATACACAAGGTATGATTCATTTAAATACTAGAGTCGAGAAGATATTTAAGTTAGTTTTATACTCCCTCCATCCTAAAATACATGCAATATCTGAAAAACACAAATTTGTAAGAGCCCAAGTGATGGGAAGAGAGAAAAGGACGAGAAAATATTTAAGTTAGTTTTATACTCCCTCTCCCCCCTTATATTATAAAAAATGTCGGGCAAAGCTGAGATGTTTAAAATTATACTTCTTCCGTCTCATTTTACTTGCTCCCATCTAACTTAAAATTTTTGATTTCGTAAATAGCGGTTGACCAACTAATTGCAAATAGAGGAGTATAAATCCTACCAAAAAATTGGGTTTTTTCAGATCCAGCTCTAAATTAGCAGGAAGTATGAATTTTGTATAAATAATCAAAATTAAGAGCATATTGTAATGAAAAAAAAAATGGCATTTAAACAGATTCTAGACTGCGCTGATAAAGTTGAGCTGACCTCTCATTGACTCATTGGAGAATTTTATGATACAGAAACAATAATTACTGTAGTTCTTTTAATCTAAGACAGTCAGATAGATAGATGCTTTTAAAAATATAGTTAAATGAGAAAAAACATTATTATGTCGAATTTTGTTAGATTTGTTTCAACGCGTATTTTATTAATGGTTGTGGGTGGGTGCAGGGAGACTAGTGAAAATAAGAAATAAATCAAGCAACTAAATGGAATGAAGGTAATATGTATATGTTTATATTGTTATTTGAAAATCATTCAAAATAGAGGAACAACTCAATTTTTCCAACAGATTCAAAAATTAAATTAATCCTGTTCATTCAAATTTGTCATTCGTAAAAAAATAGACTTAACACTTGTCTTGACAATTGTCGTACTAAACTTTAGCTAAATACTGAAATTTGAGGTGAACAAGAAAAATAAATACAGTAAAATTTTGTGATTTGAACTTGGTTATAATTAGATTATGTCAAAACTCATTGAATTAACCTTCAAAAATCCAGATTCATCACAGAAACCAATTAATGGGTTGATATAATCTTTCTTCACACAAAGACATCAATTGAAATAATTTCTTAAACTCATTTAACACATAATCTAACCAAAATTCCAGAATTCAGAAAATTTTCAGAATATCAAATCATTAGATCAAAACCACTTTTTTTACTGACAATTCACAACAACTAAGACAATACCATAAGTATCAATCCCAAAAGAGGACGGGGTCGACTACATGAACCAAGATTTTATCTCCTTAAGTCGTCTAATCATTTTTAACTCCTACCATCCAATTCATTTTTACAAACAATCAACAACAAATAAAATTAAAAACAAATCAACAAAGAAAAAAAAAGTGAAATAATCTTACCTCTTACTTGTAGTAGAGTAATGGAAAAATTCACCAATATGAAGAAGATCCAAGTAGAGATTCAAGAACCAAAAACTTAACTTTATCACTAAAATATAAAAACCCAAGTTAGAATTTTTTAGATAAAATATTTAACCTCTTGAAATTTGTATAAGTAAGCAAAAAAAAACTCAAGAAAACAGGGGAAGATATAAGAAGGAAGAAGAAAAAGGGGAGAAAGAAGGCAAGTTGTATTAGTTGGTAAGCAAAAATTTGTGGGTGAGAGAAGCCAATAAAATGACAGGAAAAATACAATAAACAAACCAAATCATATTTGTGGTTGAGAAAGCTTCTCATCAAAAAATGAAAAATTATTGGTGCACGTGTCATAAATGGGTCCCACATAAATCAAATTTGTGGTTCACCTTGGTTTGTGGGACCCAATCAACAAGTACTAGGTTGTTACTTGTATCTCTCCTTAATACAGTCATAAGGAATTGGTGTTAGATATGCTTGCTTTTAATTTAATCCCAAAAAGGTTAGGGTGTGAAAGAGGATTGGAAAGACTAAAAAAGTCAAAATGGGAAAAATGTGGGTTGAATTTATAATCAAAGTGTTGATTTGTATGATACTATGAGTCTATGATTAGTATGAGGTATACATAAGAAAGTGAAATTTTAAAAATAGTTTTTAAAAATTCAAATGGTATACAAAAAAAAAACTCGTTCTTTATTTTGTATTTATTTAGTTTGTAGTTTTTTAAACCGAAATGCTGCAACTATAAAAATAAATATGAAGGAAGTGCCAAATTATGTACTTCTGTAAATGTTTTTTGGTATTTGGTTAAACATTTGAGAAATTTTAACATAATTATAAAATGTCGGCCAACTTGGTCTCATACATATTGTAGTGAATTAATGACTCCTTCATCCATATATGAGTAGCTCCTATATATACTAATCGTAAATATGATTGCTGATTTTTATTGATCCAAAACATCACATATAGCTCACTTTTCTTAAGCTTAGATATTTTGTACACAAACTAATAGTTATAGTCCTTTTGTTTTAAGGAGACATGCCCCTTGATTAAAAAAATTGATCCTATAATTAATTAAGCTATAAACAAAAGTAATGGTTACTTGACTTGAAAGTCAAAAGAGGAGCTCAAACTTAAAGGCAAGCATGGTCTAATTAATTAATTTAAATTAAGAAATAAATAATCTAAAAATTAAAAATTAAAAAAAAAAATACTGTAAAAAAAAAAAAAAAAAAAAAAAAAAGCTCCTACAAAGAGGCAACAGCTGGGAAAACCAAATCAAGTTTGTGGTGGACGTTGTGTTGGGGTGGGACCCATTAAGCGAGTACTTGAGGTTGATAATTGAAGCTCTCATACAGTCATTCTAGATATGCTTTCTTTTTCTTTTCTTTTTTTTTAAATTTCAAGCTATGCTATTCAAAGAAAAAGTAGATGCTGAACTTTTTAATAATAGACTATGGTCTAGGATTGTAGAGGATATTATGAGTACAAGTGTGACATGTTCAAATAAAGTTCATTTTTATAATTAAATGATATGTGGATATGATTTTTTTTAAATCTTTATATAAAAAATGTAAAAAATAAAATGGTTTCAAGGGTGAGGAGAGAGAGGTCTTTATAAAAAAGGGTGAGGAGAGAGAGATGGTTTAGGAGAGGGGAAAGGCACGTGTGTGATTTCAGAGCATAATCAACCAAACTTATTCATTTTGTAGTCATTAAAGTATTTAGTGTAACTTTTGTAAAAGATCAAAGGTATTAGTTCCTCCATTTTTCTTTTTATTGCACCGTAAGAACTTTTACACTATTTACATAATCTTTTTTGACCATCTTTTATGATTTATCTGTAATGAAAAATATAGTCATGTGGGATCTAGTTAGATTCGTCTCCAAATGTACTTTTCAAATATTAACTTTTTATAATTTTTACAAAAGTGTAATTAAAGATATTAATAGTCAAAGTAATGCATTGACAAGCGTTAAACCCTTCATGGTGCAATAAAAACGGAGGAAGTGTATAATGTATTTTAAAAAGACAATAAACTAAAAAAAAAAAAACAACTGAATAACGTGCTCGTTTGGCATTACTGTGGTTTTTTGTTTTTTGGTTTTTTTTTTTCAAAATTATATAATATATGTCATATAATGAAAAAAAATTTGTCAAACTTATGTTTTTTTTTTAAAAAAAAAGAAAACTGAAAACTAGAAACGATGCCAAACAAAAGTCTTGCTCAGCCTTCCTTGCTGAAGTCATGTTCCTTCGTAATGGCCTCCTCTTAGCTAAGGATCACAATATTTATCATATTTTTATTAAAGGTGATAACGATTATTGATATTTTACAAGGTCATAATAGCTGACTCTGCTAATGGAGCTAGGATACCAAGACTATTTTGAAATCTTTTTTAGCCATCAATCCCAACATATCTATCGTAAAGGAAATCGAGCAGCTAATTGTCTATCTTGAATATTCTACCTCGATGCACTAGGATATTGACCCTTTTATAGATAGCAAATTCTCTTATTTTTTTCTTTACTTCTTGACAGATTAGGGCACGGTCTTGCAAGAAGATGTTCATAATCTACATCTCATGTCTTACCTTTAAAAAATATAAAAAATCTAATGCCTACTTGTTGGTTTATTATCATGGGAATTTACGGAAAATTAGGCATTATCAAGCGTAAATATTACCTGTAACAACATCTCCAATGGTTTATTGTAGGGACTTGCTTGCAAATTTAAAAAGCATCAAAGCAGTAGCTTTACCATTGGAACAACATTGGCAGACCTGCTTCAATGAGCAACATGCTCACTTGAGCAACACTGCTTGAAAATTCGGCAAATACAATTTATTTATTTTTAATTTAAAAAATAATGCAAATTTATTTCCATTATTTGGAATACTACTTTGTGTAAAATAGTTTGGCATGCAAAATGCTACAAAGTAGATGATAGATAAAATGTGCAGCATTGAATATGTATGATTTGCATCAGTTTTTTTTTTTTTTTTTTTGGGGTCCATCATCACGTACTTTTTAAACATTTTAATTTTTCTTAATCAGAAATTGTTTTTTTTTTGTGGTATTATTTGTAGACTAAAATGTAAACATATCATTTAAAAAAAATATCCACAATCATTTATGATATACGATTAATAAATAAAAATTCATTACACTATCCAATAATTTTAATAAAATATTAAACATAAAAAAAAGAAATATTAAACAAATGTTTGATGAGGCAAGCTACAAGGTGTTGTAGCCAACCAATGTGTAACTTTGTAGCTCGAAACCTTTGTAGTTTAATAATCTGATGTGACAAGACAAGCTACAATATATTGTAGCTTGCCATTGGAGATGCTCTAATTGGCTTGGTTTTCCATCACTTTGGAAGCAAAATCTTTGAAAAATAAGTGTTTTTGGTTGGAAAGTGTACTCGGTAATTTAGAGTATACTAAACTTTAACTAATTCGAACTCAAGCCAAGTCAATCCCTAATTGGGGGAAAACTCTCCTAATAGTGTCGTTGCGTTCTCAAGTCTCAATCTCAAGACTTTGGTTAAGTTACAACATCTTCCTTATCATCTAATTCAAGCACTCGTAGATTATGGAAAATAAACATAAAAAATTTATCCCATTTGCTCAACTTTATAATGAAATCTACCTTATTTGTGCAACTTTATTTGTTTTTCAATTTATTTCTTTGTAAAAAGTAGATATTGCAAAATAAAAAATTTGCACATTTTTAGTACAACTCACTCATTACTCCCTTAGACTATCTGATATTGCCTCGCCTAGTCCCTCCATGGCTTAGGTCTCTTCGGTTTGTTTTATTTTTCGCTTTTCTTGCTTGTTTTTGTTTGGTTTGTTAGCTCTGCTTTTCGGTTCCTTTAAACTTCAGTTGAATAAAAAAAAAACTATCTGATATTGCCTCAATTTCTTTTTTAGAATTTTATGGACTCTACCTCTTTAGTTAGTATGAGTGTATGAAGTTGACAATCTCTCTCTACTGTAAATTATTTATCTCATGTACTAAATGTCTAAACTACCTACCAACTCAATACAACTCTTAAAAAGGCGAAAGTTAAGATTTGAAACAAACATTACGGGATCAAAAATTTATTCATAGTGTGTTAACGTTTATGGTTCCAATGGGGACTTTTCATCGGGACCATTTGGGACCCGGCCCCCGATAAATTATTGTAATTAATTAGTTAATGAACCTCATTTTAATTATAAAATATTATAACATAGTGATTATTTTTGAGTAAGAGCTAAAAGATTTAAATCTCGACCCCTCTAATATTTTCGGCCAAGATCCGCACTATTTTTATAATAGATATTAAAAAGAGGGAAGTTAAGGCATAGTCAGTACTTTGTAGACACGAGTGTGTTAGCAATTGGCACTTAGAAAGTGGCTTCAGGAAACGTGGCAATCTGAATCTGAACCATCTGCCTTGGGAGAATAAAATAGGTGCTGCAGAAAAGTACTGAATGAATGATAGCAGTTGCAGCATCAGACCCTGACATCATTCAGTACTTTTTCTGCAGCGCCACCTCCTGCCTCAAGGGGCAGGGGAATGTGTCAGGACACGGATTACGAGCCCTTTTTAAAAAAAAATATTGTTATGGACACCGTATGTCTGGGTGAAATAAAAGAGGTCTTGAGATAGAATCTGGACATATAAAGCAACATTTGTTGAGAGAGCTTTATGCTACTTGAGACCGGTTCAGGTCAGATCTGAATTAGTTGGCGAAAAGGTAAACTGGTAATTTGTACTACATTAAAAGTAAAACTCTGCTGCCTTTTTAACCATACAGATGAGATGATACAGTAAAAATTTGGAAGATAGAGGTATACAATATAATCAAACATAGTAAGAACTAAGAACAAAGTCTACTTATGATGGTTATTTTTTGCAAGTTTACCTATAATGGTAATTTTTTGCAAAGTCTACCCAACTAAACATGGAATAAACAACTATGAGGGCTAAGCTTTTGCATAGGGTGGGAGACTAAATTTTGTAGATCTATCAACATCCAGGTCCGGTCACAGCCATAGCGCTTCAGCTCCTCACCCATTTATGATTTCTGCAAGTTACAAGAGTATTTAGTTTTTCAAAGCCAAGGGTGATAGGTAAATTTAAGAACAGCTCTGCATACTTGTATGGAATGTTTATTCAACTTGCCTGCATGGGGAGATATAGCTTGAACTCCGGAGGAAGTTCTTCTTCTGAATAAAGGCGGTCCGAGAAATAGATCCGCCTCAGGCGACAGTTTGCGTGGACTTGAACCCGCAATGTCTCTACATAGTTGGTTCCATATGCTCGTTTGGTAAAATCAGCAAGATTTAACTGGATTTGATTCCATCCTTCATCCAACTTCAGAGGCATGGTGCATATGTAAGGCTTCACTCGTGTCAGAGACTGCATTATTAGAAAAAACAGTCAATGATTAGCACTTCCTTGTGACCAAGGACAAAGGAAGTGAGACGTCAGTCGGAAGAAAAACACAATAAATATATTGCAAAAGCCAACAATGTGATCAAAGGTACGGAACAAGTGATAGTGACTCTGTCTTCAGGTCACTAAAAAAATTAATTTCAATATTGAGAAGAGGCAGTGGACAATTTTTCTCTGAGCTGCCACTCCCTTTAATAGACTCACTTTCTATTTTGGGATTTTTGCTCAGTTCCAGTTTATTCTTTATTTGGCAGCTCCATAATACCATCTTACCCAATTACCCCCCAACATTACACCTTTCTGCACTCTCTTACTTTATTCACCCGCCCACCTTTTCATTCCATCTCCCTTACTTTATTCACCGATACACCGACTCACGCTTTCTAAACTTCTCTAAAAAAAAGAGTATATGGTAACTGAATCAAACTTTCAGGTACAGAGGAAGTACTGAAGTTGGCGAAGTATAATAATTGCAAAAATATTGAATGCTCACAGTATGCTCCATCAACGTCAACCTTATCCTAACGCCCCTAAAAAGGTTCCCGATGAGGTAATGATAGAAGGCTGGAATGCTGGATGTCGGCAGTTGCACAAGGAAGCCTTACTCCTACTATAACAAAAAGGCTGGACCAATCAAGCATAGAGAGCAATTCTATTTAATTTATTACGAGTATCATTATTTTGTTTTCCAAGCAAAAAATTTATGTCATACCAATAAAATTGTCATGTCTTGCTTTCAAAAGGCACACTTATCTTAAGAAACTTTTATTCTTGATATAATAAGGGGAAAAAAAAACCGTCACATTCTTGCATAGAGATACATAGAAATCATTCCGTCTGGAGTTGCACGCATATCACAAATTCAAATTGGCATCCTATTAGTATCATAATGAATCCATGTCCCTGATGTCCTCACAACAGGAAAAAGATGCATCTTCCCCACACACAAATTGAAAGTGTCAAACAACATCACTCATTAAGTAGAATTCAATGAGGAGCTATTGTTTTCAGTAAGATGAACAATTATCAGAAAAACATAGTTTGAACACGGTCAACAAATGAATACAAGACAATACAATAATTTGGCAGACTTACAGACTTGATAATTTGAAGCACGAAACCGACGCCTCACATTCTTATCATCAAGGATTTGAATCTCAAAGGTGAAGTATTTCTTTAAATTCTTCACAATGATAACCAAGAATGGCAATTTTATACCAAGTGTTGCAGCTGGATCTGCAGGGCATGTGATATATGTCGACTGTATGTTTGATCCCACGATCTCAAGGACATTTGACTGAATATCCTCATCCTTCGGACGCTTGATATGGCCATTAGAAACTGCAATTAGTCAGATTCAAAACCTTTGAGAAACTTTCTTCTGCCACCTTCAATGGTAGAAGGGTGTCATTATAGAAAAATAGGGCATCACTATCTCTATTATGTAAAGTTGTTCAAACTTGTGCTTAGATTAACTACTCCCCCCATCCCTATTTACTTGCCCCATAGTCATATGCATGGAATTTTATGCAAATAAAAAGTAGTGAGAAATAATAGGTGTATGGGGCCCATGAAATGGGGCAAGTAAATTGAGTTACCCCAATAAGAAAATGGGACAAGTATTTTGAGGAGAGAGAGTACAAGTTCAATTCTTATTAGGTAGGAATGAAGTGAAAAAAAAAAAAAAAAAAAAAAATTCAAAACTTTACTCCCTCCATCCTTAATTTGATCATCACACCAAGCTTTGGACGGGGCTATGTTCAGCTTACCTACTGTATCTAAATAGAAAAGTAGATGTGATGGGAGATGGCAGAAGAATTTTTTGAGTAAATGTGAAAGGGTGTGGGACCCTAACTTTTCGTAGTGGGAAGAGAAGTAATAAGATATTAGTAGTTTCATGCCATATAGGACATATGACAATTAAATTGGAACTGATGTAAAAGAATAGTGTAAATATTAACGGAAGTACTATAAAAGCAGAAAAACTTTCAGACACCCTAAACAATAAAATGCAATGCAGCATTGAGTATCATGTAGCTGCAAACAATGGGCAGCTTTATTTGACTTTACTCCAGATGAATTATTTAATAATATACTCCATTTACAAGTTTTCATCCTTTTATGAGACAGATACTTCGCTCATTCATGGTCTATACAATTACATTGAACGTTCATGAAGCACACAAAAACAGAAAGTATATCATATAGAAAGCTAATGCTTAATCGGATTTCAAGTAAAGGCCCAATCAAAACAAAAGAAACAGGGAACATAAAGCAGATTCCAGAAACTAGAAAGCAGGAAATTGCATATATTATTTCAGAGGACACGTTATACCTACAATTTTTCCCATTTATTTTAAAGAACCAAGATATACCTACATAGTGAAACAAAACTATACAACCAATATCATTAATGTTTAATGAGGTTGGTAGCACATGGCTATAGGACTTGGGTCATCAAAAATATTATTTTGGATAACAAGTACTCCGTCTGTCCCATATAATTTTTTCCATTTGATGAAGTTCCACAGGAATTAAGAAATGGGGGGAGGAAGTACATGAAGTACATTAAAATGAGAGAAAATTACAAAAAATGTGAGTGGGCACAAAAAATTAAGTACATGAAAAAAAATACATGCACATGAGCAGGGGCACAAAAATGTAGAGAAAATATGAGGGTATTTTAGGTAGTTGAGTGAATAAAGATAAAAAAATGAAGGCAATTTGGTCTTTTCATAGTGTCCAAAATTGGGAAAAAATGAAACGGGAAGATTATTTTGGGACACCCAAAATGGAAAATGGGAAAAACAACATGAGACGGAGGGAGTATAATTTTGATAAACATTGAACATCAAGAGAGGACAATGTGAGTATATAACCTCTGATATAATTCAATGCAGTATTAATCATCATTAAGGACAGACTTATGAATTGCCCATACAAATTTGCAATTGCAGCGAGGAAAGGAATATAAATTAATCTATCCCGTAAAAACTCATGCCTAGGACAGCTTCCATGGTAAATTCTATCATTTTGCTCTACCAACAGAAGCCAAAAAATAGCTAAGCATGTTGATTGCTAAAAGTACTTTCCTCTGCCGAAATAGATGGCAAAGCAGGCCAAACATGGAACACCCATGATTTCAAACAATTCATTTTATAGACAAGCTGCCACCTTAGTTGGTTTCTTGTCTCACAGCACAGTATGCATAACATACACACATCAAGGGCATACACTTCACTGGACACCAAAAATGCATTGAACCTTTCACAATATGCCGTGCCCATAAAAATGTCTTTGCTTCCATATGAGGATTATAATGCTAACCATCTTTTTTACTTCCTTTGTTTCTAGATAAAAGCATCAATTGGTTGGGCAGATAGTTTTAGGAGGGTTAATTTTGTAGACTATTAATGTGCAAGTGGGTAAGCAAGTAAATTATTTATTGAAAGAAAATGGTAGTGGTTGAATTCTTTATTCTAAGAAAGTGATAGTGTGAATGGGTGAGGATTGTGGGAAGAGAGAAAAAGTAAAAGTATAGAAGTGGGGTAAGTAGGAGGACGAAGAAATGATAAAACATATACTTCCTCCATTCTTTTTTACTTGACCCGCTTTGACTTTTACACTATTTACCACTCCTCCTCTGACCGTCTTCTGTGAATAATATATAAGGAAAAATCTATTCATGTGAGATCTTTTTGAAATTGACTCAATAAGTACTATCATAATATATAACTTTTATAATTTTTACTTATGGAGAATTAAAGTTATTGATCGTGAAAGTTTTGCATTGACAAGCGTGATAAAAGAAACATGATAAAAGAAACAGGTCAAGTAAAAAACAAAGGAAGTAGGATAGTTACCATTTATGTAAGTAATGCACTTATTTGGAAATGATCGAATAAGGCACGTAATGCCCTTATTCAAAATGGAGGGACTATCGAGTATCTCAATTTTTAATTTATTAAACCTTGTCCCTGAGGATTTTGGCCAGCTCATGCAAATACATATAGACCAAAGAGGGAAGCAAAGAAGGGAAGAAACTTCCTATACCCTAGTAAACCTTATTGATGCATCACTACTAAGAAAAGTGGTCATGCCAGTCGCTCCTACCAACCCCTAGAAACTTCAACATCAATGTCACACAAAAGGCTACTGCAAGAAAACATGTTCATTTGTCATATTTGTATTATGATAAGTTGAACAAGCATCAACACAACAACCTTAAGAGCCCACCTCTACAGTAGGTTGTTGCCTATAAGTTTGATAAAGACAATGTTTCAAAGAATTTAAACAAAAGCTTTGACCTAGCCCTACTATGTGTTTGGATGATAGTCTGACACTAATCACACTATGGCTATGCCATTTAACCCATATATTTGGTTCAAAGGAAAGATTTAGAATCGACATGAATTCCAAATGAATTGGCGACAAGGAGAGGATGTGAGAAGTTAAGCGATGAAATTTTGGAGTTTAAAAAAATAAATTAATTAATTAAATAAAAAAAAACACACACACACGCACGCACACACTAGGCTATGAAATTTCCATTTTGGAAACAAATGCTAGAAATTCAGCAAGTGAAAAAGCAAAAAATTATCTAATCCCAACTTGTGAATATGTGACAAATAAAGGAAAATCAGAAAACAATAGAGCTATGCAGAATATTGAAGTAATATTACAAGATTTACGGCATATAGGACAATAGGCTATAGCGGCAAGAGGAAGGTGACAACTATATGAGAATTACCAGATGGTATCCTTCTACAAGAATATTGTAATCTTGTCTTTTTCGACTTTAAGATTCCCAAGAGACAAGAAAGAGAACCTTATAGGTACATTTCTCAAGATCCGCACAAATGTGGTGTATAAAGCCTTAATAAGGTGCCAAGGTATAACATCTGCTCTATAAGCCTCCTGATAACCATGCGCCATATAGCGCACAAGAAAGAGTCTTAATTACTAGAGAAAAAGATGGTACCCTCATCACTCAGCCCCTCTACCAAGCATCTTTCAACACTTCTCAAACCATCAAATAATGACATAAGGATGAACAGTAAAGAGGGGAAGATAAGTGAATTGTTTGTCTAGCACAGCTAGTTGCGTCCATTAAAGAGCTCAACCAATAAAAAAAACTGTATAAGAAGCAGAGCTCCAACATATATAATGACCTTTTGTGTAGCCACACTTGCCAGTCCCACAATATATACGATAATGAATAAGGGGAAGTCTGAGAATATACATACAGTTGCAAAAACTAAAGGAACTAGAAAACACAATCTGAAGCAACTAGCTTTTACCTTCGGTTTTATACTTTGTACTATAATATACAGTACAAATATCGTTTCTCAAATCCAGTTCTCCACGGTATATAAAAAAAAACCAACATCTTTCATATAACATACCAGATAGGCAGATACCACATTACAACCCCAATAAAACCTAATCGAGATTCGAGATTCTCAAATTGGGCAATTAGGTAATAGCACAGTAGGCATCAATGCATCATCATACAAGAAAACAAAAGCATCTAAGTGGTTTCACTAAATTGTTACTCGTATCATTTTCCAACAATTAAAAAATTACACAAACATAATGCTTATAACAATAATAGCATAATCGAGAACAATATAAACATGCAAAATCTCCCTCTTACAATTCTAAACTAAATCTTAAAACTTTAAAATCAAAAAAATACCTTCTTTATCCCATATTTGCAAAGGCTTGCTCCTGAACAATATACAAATTAGATAATGTATAAGAAAACCCCTAAAAAATATACTTCGTATATACTTATGACAAATAAATGCAAAAAAAAATATAGAATTCAATTGAAAATAATGAAAAAAATAGCATACCCAAGGCTGTATAAAATGGATAGAAATCCCGACTGGAATGTATTCTTAAACATTGCTGAGCCCCACAAAATTGAAGCTGAAATTACGACAAAAATACAATCAAAAACAATGTTACTCCGTAAAATTAAATGCATATGAAAAAGAAAAGGAAATTGTTTTTACCTAATTAAATTAAAATACAGGAACAATAATCAAAAGATTGTGAAAAGTAAGAAACCCTAATTTGATCGTTGTACCTTATCGTAGTGGGTGGCGACGGGATGGAGAACGGAGGAGTAAATACTCTCACAATGATGCGGAATTCTGAGTTTTTTTGTTTGTGTATATTTTATTCTTTAATTTATTTTAAGTTTTATGTTAATTTCTTTTTCAGTTTACTTTGTTAGTATTTTTTTAGTTTATTTGATTTGGTTTTTGGTAGTTATTTTTCTTATAATTTTTTTTATGTGTATAAATTTTTTAATTTTTTGATTTTTTGATTTTTTGAAGGTGTCGCATTTTTGCTATGGTGCGAGGAAGAATATAGATGACCATGATATGCCACCGGCCACTGCCGTGGATGCGGTATGTGTCATTAAACATTTATTGTTGTGTTTTTGTAATTGATATATATCGTTATTCAATATAATTTTTTTTTGTGTGTAGTGGATGGGAAAGTTGATGCAAGTGGGACAGAAACTCTCTCAGGAGAGGGACAACATGACGACTGTATCTTCACAGACGAAGAAGACTGGATGACGATGTACGAGGCGTTATCCTGATTGTATATCACAATCCTGTATTCTTATACTGTTATACAATCGTAGTTATCTTTTGAAGCCGCCTGAAATTTACCGAATTTGGGTTGAAGTCGTGTTAAATTTCTTCCGCTGCTTGTTAATTTCTTCAATTTTTGGTACTATCGTTCTTTTTTCTAATCAATTTCCTTGCTTTTGTGCTTGAATATCATTCAGATATACTTGGATTTATTGATTTATTTTGAAATTACATTGAATTTTTATTTATTGTGTAGTAGTAGAAAGCCATTGTATTTAAATCTAGGGTTTAACAGTATGGCGTGTTGCGTGCATGGGGTTTATTGAGCGTTTTAGTTGATTTACGTTTCAATTATTTTGGGTTTTAGTCTAATTGACTACCTATCTCAAATGTTGCAGAATTTCATTTAATTTGGTTTTGTTTTGTTACTCAGATCCTCCTTTTTCGTTTTCTCGGCTGGGTTTTGCGCTATGGACTCAAGAATTGGCCTGGATAGATTGGGTTTCAATTTTATGGAATTTCTTAAATATTAAATGACAATACATCATACCATGTCGCCGTCTAGAGTCCTTGAGAGATTTCTGAGTTGCTAGTACTAAACAAAAATCAGATCTAATTGCAACTTGTTTTGCCCAATCAATCGCTTGTTGAGCATCTTCGAAGGGACCATCATGTACAAAAATCCTACTATGCCATATTATTTTTAAATACATATAATTATATAAAGATTAATTAATACATTTAACACAAAATAACACAAGTAATTTCTAAAATTTTTATTTGTAAATTTCATTTCTATATATAATTTACACATAAAAAATTAAACATAATTTTATTAACATATATTTAAAACATAATTTCAGATTAAAACAATTATTTTTTTTGAACTTATTAACACATATTTAATTTCAAATTTATCAAAGTTAAAAAACCACAAAAAAAATTAAATAAAATTAAAAATTATGAAACAAAAAGTTTAAATAAAATAAAAAAAAAAGTTTAAACAAAATTACAAAATAAAAAAGAAAACAAAAATAAAAAAATTACAAAAAGTTTAAATAAAATTACAAAAAGTTTAAATAACATTACAAAAAAAAAAACAAAAAAAATTACAAAAAGTAGGAGTGGCGCCGTCCTGGCCAGGCGCCACAGCCATGGTGGCGGCGTCCTGGTCAGGCGCCACTGCCACGGTTACGTCCTCCCGGCCAGACGCCACCCCTACTTTTCGTAATTTTTTCCCCGGATTATCTCGCTTTCCGGCGACGATGACGGCTCTCCGATGTCCCTCGGCGATCCACTCAAGTTCCACATTCTACGTGAGAGTGAATTACGATTTCGGTAAAAATTAGAAAAGGGGCAAATGAGTCAAAGTAAAAATAATTGTGGGCTTTATGTAGAGATTTGTGGGCGATGTTTAACAAATCCCTTTATGGCTTCCCCATCTCTCACCTCAAATGGAAAATTTGTAATTAATTGAAAAAAATAAAATATTCTTGTGAAACGGCTAACACCCCCGGGAATTGTTAAACGTCGCACTTATGTTACTAGGTACCCGTATTTAAATATGAATGGACAAACATATCCTCGCATGTATTCCATGTTTTCTTCCCTGTCCTTTAACTCAATCTAACATTCTTTCCTCCCAACAAACCACCACCGACTGAGAGCAAGGTTATCGGATACATTGCCGGAATTAAAATCATTTATTTTTCCACCCGTAGAATTTTCCAGTTTTTTTACGTTTTTTGTTTTTATCATAACTTTTGATCCAGAATTCGGATTAAGACAACTAATATATTGTTTAAAAGATCTAGTAGTCTACTTTCTAACCCAATTGAAATCAGATCAATATCATTTCTAGATCTTAAGATATGGCTAAAATACTAAGTTTGGTCCAAAACCAACACCCTTTCACTATTTCGATCATAATTTAGGATCTAGAAATTATATTGACTTGATTCAAAGTGGGTTAGAAAGTAGACTTCCAGACTTTCCGAAGATTTATTATTTGACTTAATCCGAATTTGGGATCAAAAGTTATGATAAAAACAAAAAACGCAAAAATTCTGAAAAATTATATAGGGTAAAACGCCAAGAATCTTCGAATCTCCTAGAGACTTTTGAAATTTCTAAGAGTTTCTCCCCTAGAGTTTTGAAAGAATTAGGCGTTTGGCCTCCACTTAAAGAAAAAAACTATTTTAATTCCGGCGATGTGTCTGATGACCTTGCCCTCGATCAGTGGTGGTTTGTTGGGAGGAGAGAATGTTAGATTGAGTGAACATGGAATACACGCGAGAGTATGTTTGTCCATTCATATTTAAATGTGGTGTTACCCGATTAAATAAGGGCGTCGCTTAACTTGTCACAAAAAAGTTGATTAATGGTGTGTTTGGATTGAAGGAAATGGAGGAAGGAAGAGAATTAGAGAGGAGAGAAATTGAGGGATTAAATTGTAGGAAATTGATCCCTCTGACAATGGAGAGATTTGGAAGGAAAACTCACCATTCTTTCCTCCCCTCCTTTTCTCCTCCCTCCCTTCTTTTCCTTCCCCTTTCTTTATCCAAACACACTGCAAAAGAAAAAGTAATGCACCTAAAAAAAATTAACTAGATAAATCCCAAGCCATCAGTTTTTTTAATTAATAGTTTTTGAAATATTGATTTTTTATAGAGAAATGTAACTCAACGACCAATTATAATAATCAATAAGTAATAAATAAATAACTACGGAGTAATAAAGTTCTTAGGCAAATTAATGCTTTTGCAAATAAAATTAAAGAACCATAGTGTTTAATAGAAATTTACCTCTATAAACCATTTTAGTATAGGTATATGTTTTGACTTTGCAAATTTACCAATGTACTTGTTTGACCATAATTATCTTAAATTGCATACTAATATAACGATTGAATATTACTTCTTGAGACGAATAAAAAAAATTCATGTGATTATACTATATCTTATATATTTGTTTAAGTAGTGTGAGGTTCATTGTGCACTATATATGACTTGCTGGTCACAAATCTGTGAGTCTGACATTCAGTTTCAAAATGAATTAATTTGTCAATTATTGTCTGCTACAAACGTTTTCCCTTGAGCTCTAAAAATTGTTGTTGATCTCCCAATACCGTCTCTTCTTTTATAGTGTGCCTTTGGTAATGTAGTATATATTGCTATGCAAATTGAACTTTAAGAAATTAAGAAGGGCGGGTCTACTACAAGATTGTGCTTCTTTCATGTGTGCATAACATGTGCTCAATTTCTATTCACAGATTTTTCGATATTGATAATATCATGTCTCTAACAAATTCTATATATCTTCTTATAAATACAAAATTAATGACCTAATTTTTCCTTAACCCTTGTTGTATTTGAAGACAACTCTCAAACAAGTGGAAGTCTAATATATTTGCATTTGGGGGAAATTCTCTGTTTCTCATATTGTCAGATCATACCAAGATTACCAGCTGGTAAGTCTGCTCCAATTACTACATTTTGTATTATAGTTCACTAATGATATTCATCTTTTGTTGTATATATTAGGAACCATGCTTTAAATAGTGGCAGGCAATTAGATTTTTCTTTGTGCTTGGGTTTTTATCTCTACTCTGTAGCAGGTGAACTTTTGTAACAAACAAGCAACATTTTGTACTTTTAAATGTGTTATTTAAGACCATGAATCAAATCTTGTTTTGTGCTTGTATATACGAAGTGATACTCAGTTTAGATTTTTCAAATTATCCCTTTCAGTTATGTTTTGTGCTACTTTTCTTGTCATAAAACTAAGGTAGTTGATGGTGCCAGTTATTGCACCTCTGATTATGGAAAGATAGTATAACTATTAATCTATAATCAATCATCAGCGACATTGGTTATGTTTAAATAAACTTAATGTTTGAGTTGGAGGCTGCTTGTTTGAGACATTGTAGCAGCATAATAATTTAAGTCTGATTAAAAATATATAGATACATATCACTTGCAATGCAATTCTATCTTATAGGCAACTTAAAATCCTGAATAATTAAAAAGGAGATATGATTTCATGCTTACTAAATCTAATTTCATCATCCAAACTATAATTTTAAATGGTCATATGGATTTATTATGACTAAAATGTACTCTGTATTATTTACATTCATTTAGAAGAATATTTTTTACCAAAAACTTTGAAAGAATGGAGCAGAAAAGGGAATTTGAGCAATGTATTAAATATCTATCTTTTTCTCACTTTTTTCTTGCGAGGGAGACTGTCGGGTGTTCATAACCTGGACCATTATATTGGAGAAAGGCTTAAGTAATTGCCACAATTTTTTTTAGTCGATAGGTGTTACATCATACTAATTTCATTCAGAATATCTCCTACTTGTACCAGACTTGTTTCAGGATTTGAAATTTTTTTACGGTATAGTTTTAGTAGTTAAAACAGCTATGTAAAGAATATTATTCGAATCTTCATTATCATTTATACTTATTGATTATAAGAAATTGTTACAACTAATTTCAGATGTTGATGATATTGTAGTTATAAGTATTTGGATTAGAGCGCTAGATACTCTAGCTTTGCATATAGAGCTGACTCACAGGCCAAGTCAATTAAGTCAGCCAGTCAACACCAATATTGAC